TGCAAGTCATATTCATTTGTTGAAATTTGTATGCGAGCTGGAACCTGGAACGCAATTTTACATATAATTGCGCCTCTTAGCTTACTATTTATCACTCAACTCAAAGTCCTCGTGTGAGATCGAAGGGACTTCAGCGCATTTTTGTGTGGCAGATCAGTATTCTATTAGCCACTTTCGACTCAACCAACAATAACAGATCTTGTCGAAGGCTACTATATTCACTAACCGTTTCCCATTTTCCGCGTGCACCCGCAATTCGCTTTTAAAGTTAAAATCGTGTCGGGGGCTACCACATTCCCTTTGACGGTAGCCACTTCCGACGTCCCCTTCACCCACCCGCAATTCGCTTCTATTGGCGACACGAGAAAGAGAGACAGCGATTCGAGATTTACGAAACGTTAAACCGCGTGAGTTCGCAACGTAAGGTGAAAGGCGCCCGAAGTTGACTACTTCTCGAAGACGCGCGCGCGCGCCTCGCAAAAGGTCGTTAATTTCACCCCTAGGACAAAAAACAAAATTCCGCCACGCAGGAGCTGTGCGCGTTTACAACATCTTTCCGACGACACCAATTTGAAAAGAATCGGACCAAAACTGTAGTAGAAGATAGGAAAAAACTGAAAAACCTTCACGTTAGTATACTACGCTCGAGGATGACGCCCAGATGTCGCCAGCCCCACATCATGTAGCCATGTCCCTAAGGTTGACAAATTTCACGGCCTTGTAGATACACGTACACCCGTTGCCTTTCTACAAGAGTTCTTCTACGCGGCCACATTTGCAGCCAGCCAGCCAGCCAAAGTGAGATTAAAAGCTACTTTTTAGCGCATTTTTGCAAATTTATTTGTAAAAAGTAGCTTTTAATCTCACTTTGGCTGGCTGGCTGGCTGGCTGGCTGGATGGCTGGCTGGCTGGCTGGCTGGCTGGCAGCAAATGTGGGCGCGTAGAAGAACTCTTGTAGAAAGGCAACGGGTGTACGTGTATCTACAGGGCCGTGAAATTTGTCAACCTTATGGACATGGCTACATGATGTGGGGTTGGCGACATCTGGGCGTCATCCTCGAGCGTAGTATACTAACGTGAAGGTTTTTCAGTTTTTTTCCTATCTTCTACTACAGTTTTGGTCCGATTCTTTTGAAATTGGTGTCGTCGGAAAGATGTTGTAAACGCGCACAACTCCTGCGTGGCGGAATTTTGTTTTTGTCATAGGGGCGAAATTAACGACCTTTTGCGAGGCGCGCGCGCGTCTTCGAGAAGTAGTCAACTTCGGGCGCCTTTTACCTTCCGTTGCGAACTCACGCGGTTTAACGTTTCGTAAATCTCGAATCGCTGTCTCTCTTTCTCGTGTCGCCAATGGAAGTGAATTGCGAGTGAACGGGACGTCGGAAGTGGGTACCGTAAAAGAGAATGTGGTAGCCCGCGACACGATCTCACTGATGGTGGAGTCAAATCTTCAATCGCGAATTGCGGGTGAACGGGACGTCGGAAGGGGGTACGTTCAAAGGAAATGTGGTAGCCCCCGACACGATCTTCCTGATGGTGGAGTCAAATCTTCAAACACGAATTGCGGGTAAACTGGACGTCGAAAGGGAGTACCGTCAAAGGGAATGTGGTAGCCCCCCACACGATCTTCCTGATGGTGGAGTCAAATCTTCAAACGCGAATTGCGGGTGAACGGAACGTCGGAAGTAGGTACCGTCAAAGGGAATGTGGTAGCCCCCAACACGATCTTACTGATGGTGGAGTTAAATCTTTAAAAGCGAATTGCG